GCACTGATGCCTTCCTAACTTACCATTAATATGGAAATCCCATCTAATTTTTATTTTTATTTTTATTTTACATTCATGCTCTTATTTATTTTTATTTTTTTTAAAGGAAAAAGTTTATATAGAGCCGGGGCTCTAAACAATCAAATTCGACCCTACCTCAAAAATTTCACTAGAAAAGATTGTTTTGATGTCCAAATATCCTCAAATTTATCTTCTGTACGGACATGAGAAAAAAATGGATTTCAAATTTTGGAAATAGAGTATTTCGTAACGCATTTTTGGACCGTCAATGTTCAAGATTTTGAAGTTTTCATATATCTTTCGATTTACACTATTTTTTAAGCTTTAACTTTATAAATAAAGATAAAAATATATTTCAAGGCTATCAAAAAGATTTCCAATATTAAAACCACGTTCTTGACACTATTTGAAGGTAGGGTCTAATTTGATTGTTTAGAGCCAAGGCTCTATACAAACCGCACCTTTTTTAAAATGCCGTTATTCTAGATTTTCAGGGTCTAAAATGCCCTTACTTTAGAATGCTAAAAGTCACAAAGTCAGGGTAACACAAATTTTTTATGGTAGTGGGCACTAAGAGACATCGGCGTAACCATTGAAGACTATATAAAGTCGAGGCTCTAAACAATCAAATTTAGGCACGCTTCAAAAATTTCATTAGGGGAGGTTGTTTTGGTATCTAAATATCTTTAAATTGATAATCTCAACATCAAGATACATGGACAAATTTTGAAAATAGTGCATCAAGTAATGTATTTTTTGACCGTCAATTTTTAAGATTTTCAAGTTTTCATATATATGTTTGATCTACATTATTTTTGAAACTTTAAATTTTATAATTAAAAATAAAAATATATTTTAAAGCTATCACAAAGATTTATAGTATTGAAACCATATTTTTCAATACCATTTGAAAGTGCGCTTTATTTTGATTGTTTAGAGCCTCGGATCTATACAAATCGCACCCATATTTAAAAGCATTTGAAGTTTGTTGCCGGCCTTCTAGACAGAGAGGACAGAGTTTGTGGACAAGAGTCGGAGTTGTATAGTCATTTACGTAAAAGATCGAGGGGTTTACAGTCATTTACGCCCTTTAATTATGTAACCCTAAGCCATGGGCCGCTAGAGCGCGGGAATCCGACACGAGTGAGGGTTGAAACAAGCACGTGCCAATTTCCCGCCTTCTGCAAAAGGAGAAAAATGCGTGTCGGAAACCAATCTCTTCTCTCTCTTCTGCAATTGCCCCTGTCGCTCTCCCTCTTCTAGGGTTCCACCTCAGATCTGCTTTCACATTGCTCTCTCTCTAAGAAGTTTATTTTCTCTCTCTTCTGCGAATCTCCTCTCTCTCTTTCCTAACTTCTAACAGAGATGGATCTCCATCCTACAAGGATTCCCATCTAGAAGCCATATTGGTTCTTCCTCATGGAGCTAGACCCCTACCCCTGCAACTCAAATTTCTCCATTGAAATTGAGAAGTCATGGTACTTAGTAACCCTCCTGTTAAGGCTACGTCGCCCCTGCCTTCCTGGTCATCTCTCTTCACTATGCTCCATTTTCCCCGTGTCTCCCCACCAAATAGAGCTCCTTTGTTCAATTCCCAGTTTGCCACTTCAAATGACACCCGATCACTTTGTTACTCTCTCTCATTCTACTTTCTCTCTCCTTGGAGATTTTTCTTGTAGAATTTTCCCGACTGTTTCACATGTAACACTTAGATTTCCAGCGCTTTGTTTTCAGAGAAGTTTGTCAAATGAGATTTTACACAAGTATTGCAGGAAACGGAAGGATTGCAGGCCTTTGATTTTTTCGCCCTTTGTGAAAAGGAGGCTCTTTATTGAAGATGGTCTACAAAAAGGTTGAAAATTATTTATTTTCTTCATGTTATGTTCTATTGTTGAAGTTTTGATCTTTATTTCTTTTAACTTTTTGTATGAGTTCTGGACTTCTGCTTACTATATTTTGGCATTATTGTTCAGACCTCTCATCTTTAGTGGGCGATGAGGAGTTGACAGTTAGAGAAAAGGGAGTTTTTGATGCTGAATCTGAGGTATCCAGCGATACTAGTTGCTATACTTTCAATGAACCGATTGTTCATGTTGAAGTTCCTTCCATAATTTTGTCCATTGAATACATTTGCATGTAACTGATAGCTTTTTCTTTTGTGATTGATCTATATTTCCAAGTGTCTTATGGTCTCAATTGAACATTTTCTATTTTGCAATTATGATCATATATTTCTCGTTTATATAAAGCACATTTTTTGAACCTTTTGGTGGACTGTGTATACAATCAAGCAACCCTAATATTACAAATGTAGAAAGAAGGAATACAGAAAAGTTTTAGTTTGGATAATCATGCTTCACTTGAGGTACCGGTACACTGCATATACTATCTTAAGGATCCACGCATTCATTAATAAATTGCTACCACCAGCATGCTCCACTGTCTTGCATCAGGAGCCAGAATTGAGTTTTGAAAGTTGAGTGAACTCACTAGGCTCACCTCTGTCCAGTTAGTATAGGGTCCTGACTTTTAAACCTAGTAAAACTCATAATTGGCCCAGTTTAAGAGAAGAAATACAGAAGTTTAAGTTTGATCAACCCTCTTTTTGCCCAGTTTTCTCGGACCTTTTCTTGACCTCTTCACTGTGGCAATAATTTTTACATGGTGGACTCTGAAAAAGACAAATTTTTGAAGTGCCTTAAGAAAATTGCTTGGGTTTCAAGGATTTATTTGAGCCTTCTTCATCTTCACAAGCCCTTATGTATTAGTTTCGAGACTCGAGGGACCTAAGTGGGCCCAGGCAAGGTCTTTTTGCTTGATCTTGTTAATTTTGGTTTGGTTTATTCAAGGTGAAAAATGTATTTTGCCTTGCTGTTGTTGACTATATTCCAAGTGTAGAAAATTTTAGGCTTTGTTTTTTGGCACCTGCATTGATAAACCTGATGCAATAGGTGCCACCCTTATTGCAAAAAGCACCATACAGATAGGAATATCCTATTGACTTTAAGGGTAGCAGAGTAGCATTTATGAGAACCACTCCATGGTTCTTTCCAACACCACGGCATTGACACCATGAACGGTTGAATTGCATTTAATGCAAAAAGTCTTACCAAACCCAGCCTTAATTATTTTGTTTTTGTCAGTAAACTGAGTATTTATTTTGAACAGGAAAAATGTTCTATTCCTTGCTAGAAAACGGTCTGCAAAATCTCCAGAGTTCTGTATCCATTACTTTTCAATGTAATGGTGAGATTATTTCAGTGTTTTTCATTGGAATTCCTGTCTTGTCTACTGTATGATTCTCCTGTCTCCTCTCCTCAGTAGTTATATATGGGAAATTATATACTATAATCCAATTCATTGCATGAAACCATAGGCTACTAGGACGATGAGAAAACCATTGAAATGTGATGAAAAAACCATTGAAGTAATGTCTTGTTGTGATGTGTCCCTCTCTCTGTTACCCTTTGTTTCAATGTATACTGATGACCCAGAGGACTCTGATTTTCCATAGTCCATTTGAGTATAGTATATCTCAGTGCTTAAAAATTGACAACCGAGGCTCGGACTCATCTGGGTCACTAGGACCCCTCATGGTTCTTCATTTGGATGAATGACACTGAGACTCTGAGAGAGTCTGATCTGAATCATGCATTATTATTGTGTTCTATAAACTGGGTCCAGTCAGAGACACCGACTCAGCCGAGTTGGCTTTTGAGTTGGATTCAGGACTTTGGCAAGTCCAATCCTGACTGCGGACTTCTAGTCACTGATATGTTCATTATACACACACTAGTGGAAGGTTCTATTCTTATGCTTACAGCTTATTCATTTCCATTATCTAAAGTGTGCTGGAGATAAATTTTAGGTTTGCTTCTCTTATGCCAATTACTTAGTTATGCATCCTAAAATTAAATAAATTGCAGGTATGTGCAGGAGTAGATGCCAGCGAAAGCAAAGATGAGATGCTCTTGCCGCTGGGCATATCTGAGACAAACGGTGGTTCAGACATCTCAGAAAGAGAAGTACCTTTCATTGTTCATCATACTAGTGTTTTCTCATCTAGCCATGGATTGGAGAAGACTAACTTCGCAAAAGATGCATATGGGATGGAGTTCAAATGTAACAATGCAGAGAACGTCGATGGGGAATTACGAAAGTTGGTAAAGATAGGAGAAGATTACTGTTGTGCTCTGAGCACCTGCGTTAACTCAAACAATCTTAAAACTTTAAAACGTGAAAGTGTGAGTATCTGTAAGCTAGAGCGTGTTCCTCAAATTACAGAGAACTGCAAAGAAACTCCTAGGAACAATGATAAATTTCAAGTGAATGCTGACATAGAAATTAGAGAATCAAACATTGTACCTGAAAATTTTTGGGAAGAAGGTATCTGTGAGATAGATCCTGTTTCTCAAATAAAGAATAATTGCCAGGAAACTCAGAGGAACGATGACGAATTTCAGGTGAACACTGTCATTGAAATTAGAGAAACAAACATTGTGCCCGAAATTTTGAGGAAAGGAGGTTTCACATGTAGGGTAGAGCCTACTCCTCAAGTAACAAAGGGCTGTCAAGAAACTCAGAGGAACAATAATAAATTTCAAGTGAGATCTGATATAAAGCATCAAGAAACAAGCACTGTGCCTGAAAATTTGAGGGAAGGAGGTTGTCTTGATAACCAATTAGAATTTGATAAGATTGAACATTCCCCTAAGGGAAATAGGGATTTAGAGTCCTTGAATCCTGAGCTTGTCAAGATAGAGGATGTTCAAACTTCAGCAGAGTTTAACTTCGAAGCCGAGAACCGATGCATTTCGTCACACACAAAAGCAACATTGATTGACGATGTTCCTGATAGTCTTGAATGCTGCTTTTCAAGTAAAAGCCCGACAGGTGCTGGGGCTGATGAACAGTTCCATTGTGGAAAACATAAAGAAATAGACAATATTGATACTTGTAATAGAGAACTCCTCAACTCTTCTTTCCAAGAAAATGCTTCCCACAAAGAGGGCCAAGCTCCAGATGGTTCGATAACAAAAAACCAGGTGGTTGGTGGCAATTTGTTAACTTGTTCAGTCACTCAAGTACTAAGATCTGTTAGAATGAAAGTGCCTGAAGAATGTCCAACAGTTGGGCTCCCGAATGCTGGGGAGCATTCACCGAATATGCTTCAGAAGGAAGTGATTTCTGGTGACATGGAAGCCTCAATAATTCCTTGTCCACTTGATGGCAGTAAAATTACTGATTTGACCAAACAATTGGATAACTTCAGGAAGGATGAGAAGAGAATCACTTCAATACAGAAGGCCAAGCGATCTCAAAAACATAATGGGCATGCTAAACATAATGAGCCAGATCGAATATGCCATTCTTCTTCCCATGTAATCCCTTTTCCAAGTACACTTGGAATATGCTTAATCTGCAATAGAAGTTTTTTGTGCTTGGTGCATGTTATATGCTTGTGTTCAATGTTTAAGTCTGTCGCAAAAGATATGCATTCTTTTGAGCAATAAAAAACTTGCACCCTATGTTCTTAATAGGGTGTTTGATTTTCAAAATGCAGCCACATTTGGAGCACAAAACTTTACTGGCCTTGGAATCTTTCATCTTAGAGGAAGAAGAAGGTTCAGGTAGTTTCTGCCTCCCTAATATTAAGAATTTGACCGTGCCTTTCTTTTTGCCTTTGCTGCTTTATCTTTTAACTGCCACTGGTTTCATTAATATATGCAGGAGGTTATGGCACTGTGTACAAGGCTACGAGGAAGCATGATGGAAAAACAGTTGCAGTCAAGTGTATGTGAATTTGCCTACTGTTTGGATTTTTAGTGAGACTTGGTTTATTGTCCTTCAGGAAAAGGAGCATGTCATGGATTTGTACATGATCTAATATCTTGCTTGGTCACTATTTTACATACTGAGTTGTTATCGAGTATTAGGCTATTACTTCATTAGTTATTTAGTTTTCTTGCACTCGTCAAAGTTACTAATCAGTCACAATGGATAATGGTTTGCATATCTATGCATTTATGACAGGCCCTCATGCAAACGCTCACGCACATCATGTCAACAATGAATTAAAGATGCTAGAGCAGTTTGGGTGCGTGGAATTTGTAAATCTCTGTTTATTGAGCTAGGAACTTGGCACAGTCCTTAAATTTACATTTTTCAGAATCCTAAGATGGAAATTCTTGTCACAGAGGTAGGAACTTTGTGATAAAGTATGAAGGCTCCTTCAAAAGTGGCAATTTGGATTGTTTTGTTTTAGAGCATGTCCAGCATGAAAGACCAGAGGTGATCATTCAAGAACTCAAAAGGTGCAGTTAAGGTTCTTTTCCTCGGGTTACCATTAACGGGTTTGGTTGTATTGTTGCAGGTGTTGAAAAGAGAAATAGATATATATGAACTTCAATGGTATGGTTATTGCATGTTCAGAGCCCTTTCAAGCTTGCATAAGCAGGTAAAAGTTTGGGCGTGTGTTTTTGCATGTGCACATGTTTGTGGCTATTTGCTTTTTATATCTTACAGAAATTCTTTGATCTCAACTTTGCAGGGTGTAGTCCATAGAGATGTAAAGCCAGGAAACTTCCTCTTCTCTCGAAAACTGTATAAAGGATACCTCATTGATTTCAACTTAGCCCAGGTTAGTCATGATTATGTCTTTTCTGTCAATTGGTTAATCTGTTTTTTAAGGGATTAAGTCTAATTTGATTTTTCTTTGTTTTGGGTGGTTAATCTAATGATTTTTTCTTCCTGCAGGACCTCCACCAGAAGTATGCTACAAGTAGTAAGTTTCCTGTTCTCTTAGACCATGCATGATCTTGAGCCTTTGATGACCTATTACATTTTGCGTTGTATCAATTATTGATAGGGTTTCCAAGTTAAATTTTGTTTCATAAACTTCTGTTTTTCTGAAACATGGTCATGACGGTTATATGTTTCACATTGGTGCCTATGTGTACACTTCAACTTACTCTCATGATATTTATTCATGAGATTAAGGCTTTGGTAACTAATCTGGTCTTTCTTTCTTTCTTTTTTTTTTCTTTCAAAATGTTAACCTGCAACCTAGTGGGCACGGAACTCGAGATGTCACATTGTGGCACCTGTCACGCTGACCACCAAAGCCTTTAGCACATTCCCAGGTCATATTTTTGTTATAGCTGGATAACTAAAGGAAAGTTCAAAATAATCTACTTTGGTGGACGTGCAGGTTAAATTTGATTAGACTTTGCCCTGCTAGTTTTAGCCGAGTTTAATTTTAAAGTGGGCTTTCACTGTTGAGAGTAAGATGTGGAGATGACTATGTTGATGATCATCCACCTGAGGTGTACAAAAAAATGTCTAACACTGTGGAGGTTAGACCACCTACTGGTTTTTTCGGGTTTTGTTCTCGTGCACCAAAAATTGAAATTGAGCCCTTCTCTGATGCTCCATTCAGTGTTCAAGAACCAAAAATCAGGTTGGGACTTGCTAGGGTCCCGAGACTGAGTCACCTAGTTTGACTTGGTTGTCCAATTCAAACTTGGTAAGTAAGCAGATCTATAACGCATGAAAATCTTGAAAATGGACGGTTCAGAAAATTGTGCTGCAAGATGTACCATTTTTGGGACTTGAAATCTTTCTTTCCTCCATATCCAGATAATCAATTAGAGGTTTTCCATCATCAAAATAGCCTTTTTCAAGGGATTTTTGAGGTGCACCTTAATTCTACATTTTAAGGTGTCAATCTTATGTAAATGCCTTTTTCAAGGGATTTTTGAGGTGCACCTTAATTCTACATTTTAAGGTGTCAATCTTATAAAAACTTTTTCCATATATATATATATATATATAAAATAAGGAGGCCTCATATGTTAAGACTCAGGATGAGTCTCAAGGACTTGGATCGAGACTTTCCGGGGTCTCAAGCCGAGCTGATTTGGATAAACTGGTTTTTAGTACTCTGCCCCGTGGTCTTTGTATTTGTTCTTGCTGGATGAGTTTTGTGTCATAATATCGAGAACTCATTGGGATGTTATCCCTTGGTTATTAAAATATTCGACCTTTGCAAGAGATTAAGTAACACATAAGGTTGATTAGTAGCAGCCTTAAGAGCTGCTGTATCTGGAACTAAGTTCGACTCGCACCACTCAGTCTTTTGACTTGCACTTTGTTATGGCATTGATGTCTTTGCCATCATAGATTTTCAAAATTATTTATTTCTTGCTGTATGGTTACTTGCTCAGCATACACGTAAAGATACGCTTTCTGTTATTTATTATTGCTGATTTGTACAGTAGGGAAGTGGGGAAGTAAACTGCTCTGTTTTTCTAGTATTACTGCTTGTAATGTGAGAGGGTAGTTGTGGGTGGGTGGGTTATTTTTTTTGTGAATGTTTGTGGGTGTTGTGTGTGTCTGAGAGAGAGAGAGAGAGAGAGAGAGAGAGAGTAAGTACTTACTACTCCTCCTCTCTGTCTGTCATAGTAGAGACGACGTACGTAAGTACGTTACCGTAACCTAACACGTAAGGGAAGGTAGTACGTATAGT